AAAAAAAAAAAAAAAAAAAAAGTATCTGGTCTCAACCATAGACCAGGGGGGTCCGGCGTTTTGGGAACGCCGGACCCCCAGGAGCAAAAAATTCCGACCGGATTTTGGCAAAAAAAGTTAGTTTTGATTTCGTTCAAAAATATAATACGCCCGTTTTGACGAAATGGCTGTTTTCTGAGCTTAACCCTGAGCAGGAACCCCAGCATGATAGGAACGTGGTCGGCAGATGGTGGGCTGAGACCGTTGATAGGAATCCGTTTCTTGCGGAGTTACGACCGTACTCGAAACCTACCCAATCCTTGATTAATGTCATCCACCCTTCGGTGACAACCTTGGTTGGCCAAAAAGTTACGGAAGGCCTATTCCCTCTCATCACAGAAACCTTTCTCTTCAATGACTGGGCTGACCTTGCCTGGTCCTACGAGCACCAAAAACACTACGTCGACTTCATCCTGGGTGGCCACATAGCCAAAGCGGAGGAGAAGAAGGCGAACCTGGCGAAGGAAAGGGAGGGGATACTGGGGAGGACCACTAGATTGGAGGAGACCCTCAAGAAGATTTGGGAGGTCGGGAAGGATCCTGAGGTGGAAGAGGAAAAGGCTGAAAACGATAGGTATGATCGGGCTCTTATGGGGATAATGGGGGAGGAGGAGGAGGAACTCAGGCAGCTCCTGGATAACCAGCCCCTGCCCCCACCTCCACCGGGAGGAGTTGGGCAGGAAGCAAGCCGAAACAAGAGTAACGGATTCGTCCCCATTGGCTCTGCGCAGTGGCTTGAGAGTGTGATGGGGCAACAACAGGATAGGGGATGGGTGGGGAATGGGTTTCATAACCTGGCTCCAATCAACGTCAAAGGTTGGAAATTCCTAGCTGACCTGTTGAAGAACGAAGTCGAGGAATGCCGAAGGAAGGCACTGGTAGGAACGCTGGACTATGCTAACGCTACCCCACACTTCGGTGGCAAACTCACCTTCCCCACCTTGAGTGTGCTCGACCCTACCAAATGTGTGTTTGCTAACCCAGTGGTTATGCAGAAAATGATCCCATCATCCCTTAGCCTGGATCTGAGGAACCTCCGCAGAGTATGGAATGCGGGCCGCCCATACCTCAAGTGCAGATGCGGATACAGGAATTCCCGCACCTGCAATGCTGGACCTATCTGGTTAGATTAAGTGATTTGGTACCTGATGGCGAAACCGGAGATCGTGAAACCGGAGGCGGGATCGAACCGAGTCAGGATTGCGTTCCTCCTCCACCACTTACGTACCTCCTGGAGGGAATTAGCTAAAGCTTCTGTTACATTCATTTGGATGAGAGAGATGATGCTCACAGTGTTGCGCAATCTTGAGCGCAACCCTGGGCTCATGACAGCTGACGCTCTTGCAGGCAGCACCTTTAAAATACATGCCTGCCCCAGGATCTTGGCCAACCTGATCCTTCCTACACGGATCACCCCGGGACTCCCCGCCCCGGAGATACCAAACCCTAGGAAGAAGAAAAACAGGTCGCCAATTGGTGTGAGAAACAAGAAGGTCTGCCCGATGTCACCCCGACAACAGACCCTCTTGAATTCATTCAGAATAGCAGCCACTCCCTTGGGAGCTGCTGTTGCTTCTTCTTCAAGCCCAGTGAGCGTGACCAGCAGCCAACACTCCACAGCCGTGACTGATGATCACCCTGATGGCACCACGAGTGCGGGTGGCGCCTCCAGGAAGCGTAAGAATATGTGCTAGGGAACCGGATAACCACTGTCCCGCCTCTGTATACACACTGATGATGTGAGTACAGACACTCATCCATGTACAGGGATATGTACGCATAGACTGGGAATGAGTTTAAGCTTTTTTACTTAGGCGCTCTAATGCGTATATATATACATATGGACACAGTCTCTGCGTTATATAATACATACACGCGCATATATGTGCATGCGGTTATACATGCACGGATACGTATGAGGAAGCTGATAGGGGTGTATATATCGTCAAATAGAATATGTAATATGCGCACTGGCAGACTTATAACTGGATCCGTCCCACCTCCCTTCCACTCATCCCCCCTCCTCCCTCCTTCTTGTCGTGCTAAGCCCCCCCACCCCCCGACCCCTCCTCCACGCTCCCCCTGCCCTATAGATAGCAGGTAATAGAGACATCACTGCGGAAGCAATCTGGAGACATGCTCGCCGCCTGGCTGCATCGGAAAGGGAATTACGCAACGCCTATGACATCCTTATTGAGAGCAGCAACCGGGTCATCGTCACCGTCCTGCGCAACGATAGGGAGGAAACGGTTGGTTTCGATCAACCGGATTCAACGCCACGATTATGGACCAATCTCATCATGAGAAGATTGGGCACCAATCACGAAGCAGTCATGAACGACTTCAGGAGCCTCTGGCACAATCACAGGGCGCTCCTTCTCGCAGACGCACTAACAGATGACCTACAGCGGCGCCATCTGGAGGCGAAGATCGCGGAGCTAAGGAGACACAACCGGCTACTAGCCAGTATCCTCCACTCTCTCTCTGCCCTTGCGTTAGCACTTTGCTATATCGTCACCCTGGCTGATGGTACTTACACATGCATGCAGGTCTGAAGCGGGGCGTTACAGCGGATTGAGGGAGCTGGAGTGACTGTGCCCAGTCCGGTTGGAGCCAGGTACGAGATTAGCTGATCCACTCTTTTGGTACCATGGCGCTGGAGATGGGACGACCTATTCCGGAGGTGCTTAGAGTGGAGCTTGATCCGGATATTTTCCTGCCCTGGCCGCCAGCGGGTCCCACCCTGATCAAGATTGCCAAGCCCAATATCTGGGAAGCCCAGAGGAGCTCCGGGCAACCTTCGATACCCATCGACAACATTGCTATGGCAGACATCCTGACTGCAATGCTACAAATCACGACTATCGCTGGGGTCCTGCTTACGGTGGAGTGTGAAAGAGTGGCAGTGGGGGAGATAAGGGGATTTGGCACCCGATCGGAGGAAGGAACGATTAATTGCGACATGAGGCTGAGGGGAGTTTCTGGGGAAGGGGCATTCCCCGGAAAGCAGACTGGGCTGCTTTGGCCGGTGGTGAGAGCAACCATGAAGGACATAGCCTCATCGATAGCTGCGACGCTGGACTATGGCGGGGATTCTGGAGGCAGCTGCTTTTATGGATTCGGCGGGCTTTTTGGCCCAGGATCGGACTTCTGGGGGAGGATTGTGAAGATCGGGGATGCCCTGTACGCGGAGCCAGAACCAGATGCACCAGGCATGGATGGAACACTAGCGATAACTGGTGGAGATACCACGACTACTCGGAATGATGGTGGAACAGCAGAAGGAAGCGCGACGAATCCATCGATGGGGATAGCATACTGCAGCAGAGCCGCCTGACCAACGGAAGCAGGCGTGGGGAGGCAAGAACAGGGAGACTATCCCTCTTAAGTGAACTAATACACGCAAACTCTTCCCTACGCAGCCTCTTCTTCCCTGCTCCCTCCACCATGTTTTTTTTCCCCCCTTCCTTTCTTCTCCTCGCCCCCCCTCTTTCCCCCCCTCATGCGCACATTGCACTGCTAATTGAGCCATTGGGACAGATAGGAGTACGGACTGACACGAACAATACATGTCTCATTTTATACTTTTTTCATTCCCCCTTCTTTTGCTTGTTTTTGCTTGTTTTGCTTTTTTTTGTTTGCCTTCTTTTGCTTTCTTTTGCTTTCTTTTGCTTTCTTTTGCTAGCGTCTTTTGCTTTCTTCACCTTGATTGCAGGGGTGCATGGGTGGAATCGAGATTGGACCCTCAGGTAGACAGAAGTGGTGCAAGGGGGAGGATGAGCCACGAAGAAGGTTTCTACACATGAGATATGTGAGTAGACTGATGGAGGCAGTCTCAGCCAGAGCATTGATCATTTCGTTGATGACGACTGTTATTGGACGACAGTTTGCTGAATGGATGGCGACCGCCACCCTCGGCTGGACCTACGATGAACTAATCTCCGGGGTACTTTACAAACCCGCGGAGGTCTTTCGGGACTTCGATCTGGACCAATGGGAGAATAGCAAGGGTGGTTGTCCCTGTAGCAGTACGTATACTCGGTTTAGTAATCCAGCCACTGAGGGACTGCTTGAATCTGGGAGGATTGGGGATACCCCTGGGCATCACGTGATCACCACGGATTACACTATCTCCCGGCTACCCCAACTCAGAGCGATCCTGCGCTTTAGCCTCAACCATATTCCCACTGCTAGACTAGAGATCGAGGTAGCGGTGAAGGAAATCCTGAAAACTTTTGATGGAATAATGGCATTATATAGCAAGGATTACGAGCTCCAAGAGGAAGATTTGTGCAGGGGTAGGGTTGGAATCAAGCAGTACTGCTTTAGTAGGTTCGTAGAGCATAAAAGGAGGCACGGAGGGGGGTGGTGCGGAGCCCTTCTACAACCCTGTACCTTCAAATCAGAAAAAAAAAAGAAAAAAAAAAAGGATATTTGTGTTTAAAAATAAATAAATAAATATTTGGAGGTTGATTGATTGATTGGTTCGTGGGGGAGGGGTCCTCCCTCCAGTCCCCGGCGCGCGCGCGCACCTCTCTCTCTCTCTCTCTCTCTCTCTCTCTCTCTCTCTCTCTATCTATCTATCT